CAACGTTCAATTATTAAATGAAAAAAAAAAGGTAAATGTCTCATCTCTTGCTACGACTGCATAGCGACGTAGCTCGATTTCGTAGCAGCCGTAGCTTCAATTCTAAATTTTACATTACTTTTTTATTTATTTACTTTATTTTACTTTTTTTTTTCATTTTCAATATGACGACCTCGGTGGTCTAGCACGGCACAAACAGCATGAGTATGATTGTCTAAACGCTTGAATGACGACGTGCGCAATAGTTTTCACGTCCGATGGTCTGGATTAAAAAAAAAGCGGGTTCGATTCTCGCTATATACGGCACAAACATTTGTATTCATGAGTATGATTGTTTATATCGGTCTGGGTATTTTCTATATATAATATGTATGTATTTACGGAAAAAAAATTATCTATGTATTTGTATCAGTTATCAAGTACCCATAACACAAGCTTTAGCTAGCTTAACTTGGGTCTAGATGGCGCTGTGTGAATTGTCCTGAGATTATTATTATTATTATTATTATTAATATATAAAAAAAAATATTAATCTGATTTTTTTATTTCATTGTGTTAAGCTTCTTATTTGTTTCTTCATAACGGTTTACAGTTCAACATCTTAATCTAGAATGACTACATAAATGAAGTATTTAATATTAAAAAAAATCTCTGAAATGTTATCTCACCTAACCACAACGATATGTCATTGTAAAATAGACTATGTTAAATATCTTGATAAAAAATTATACCTTGTTGCAATTGATATTATCAATTACAAATCGCCTATTAATTGTAAATTACTTTTTTCTCTAAAAAATAATTTCTTCCTCGTCCTGGGAGTTCTTTAGAAACATTTTGAATATTTTCATTTAATAGGAATTTAGAGATCACAATTCAATCAATAACAGTATTATAATCATTTACCATCAGGTGAGCCGCATGCTCGTTTGTCCCCCGTGTTATATATAAAAAAAAAAGGTACTTTCGCTGGTTTTTCTCTTTTCTCGAATATTTTAACATTGAATCCGTTTAGAAATGTTATTTATTGAATAAATATTAAAGATTGAAAAATTAGTCCGTAGATAAACCAATGTTTTCATTATTACTAGTAGGTTATTGAAGAAAGCTTTAAAGAATCTGTTACGATCCACACAGTATCAGGTTTATAAGGCGGAAATTAAATTTAACAATGTTCCACAAAGTTCGTTTACGTGCATAATCATTGTGAATATTCGCTAATAGAAAATAAACATAATTTAAGATTATACAAAATTAATACTGATACTTTAAACGATTTTTTTGGTAAAAAACGGTTATTGTTCTTGAAGTGGGCTTATTTTTTTCCTCTTTATTTCGCCAACAGACAGTTGTTATATAAACATATAAATGTACAAATAAACGTATTTTCACAATAGACTTTGTGTGCCGAAAATTTTTATATAAATTTGCCGCTAATAGAAAATAAACATAATTTAAGATTATACAAAATTAATACTGATACTTTAAACGATTTTTTTGGTAAAAAACGGTTATTGTTCTTGAAGTGGGCTTATTTTTTTTCTCTTTATTTCGCCAACAGACAGTCGTTATATAAACATATAAATGTACAAATAAACGTATTTTTACAATAGACTTTGTGTGCCGAAAATTTTTATATAAATTTGCACATTATTTATTTAGTGAGCCTAGTGGACTAAAATAAAAACAAAACAATACAACTAAGAAAATGAATAAGAAAAAAGAAAGAAAGAAAGAAATTTTAATATTTATTATTTTAATTTAATTTGTGTGTGCTGTAACTCACACAGTCTGGATGCTATGGTCTATAAATAGATAGATAATAGTTTCTATTTGTGTCTTAATACACACATATACACACATATTATAACATCACATGACAAGTACCTATAATATAACAATTCAATAAGGGTAATGCATGTGTGTGCTACAGCAATACAAAACCGCTAGCTCAGTGTGGAGAATCACTCAACGAGCAAAACACTGACTTAAATGATAAGTCCAGGCTGCTTTCCAACTTGATATACTGAGTACACGATGATTGAGTGTGGACTGATGGCCTGATGCTTGTGAGTATTTGTATACTGAAGGGAAAATGATGTGTGTGGGCGTTATATGGACGCGAGGCGGTGTAAAATGCTGACGACTGTACGGTGACGATTCGTACAATACAACTTCAAAGAAAATACCAACAAAGAAAAGAAAAAAAAATAAGAATATTACAATGCAAACGTTATAATGATAAAAATAAAAATGGGTTACTTTAGTATTTCGAATAGTTTATTTCTACATGTGTATTTATTTATGTTAATAAATATATTACATTAATACATATAATAATAATGTGTTTGATTTGTTTGAGTGTTTGAATATATTACCCTCGTAAAAAGGGAGATATAATAAATATATATATATATATATATGTAATAATAATAATAATACATTTATGTTAATACATATATACATTAATACATATATATTTAAATAAAGATTATTTCTATTTTCAATTTTATGTAATCGTTTGTACAAGTACAAGTTGAACTGTTCAGGTTTATTTAAAACGTCACTGATTATAAGGTATTGTTTAATGTCGTAATTGCAATAATAGTGATATATACTGGTGCTCTCTGTATTATCTAAGTAGGACTTCGTCATGGAGGTCTTTATAGTCGATGTGGGTACCTCTATCTCAATTGTATATATATCTTTATCGTAAAAACAAAAATAAATGCAATTTTTTTTTATTAAAGTGGTTAGTAACCCTATTGTATGAGGATACCGAAGGTTTGTCTGTTCTGAGATGATGATGAAGCTAATCTTATATATTCGTCTGATTTGTTACTTTGGTGGGGTGGACAAGAGATTTGATTATTTAATAGAATTAGTGCTAATTGGTGGTTTGTATTCACACACTTAAACTTAAAAATGTAAAGTAATAATAAAATTATTCAAAAGAGCAACACGCAAGTTTCTTGCTAGTTCTTCTTGTGATGAGACAGCTTTCCGAACGAGCGGTAGATTAAAAAATGTAATGACTATTCAAAAGTGCTTCAATGTAAGTTTATTTGAATAAATGATTTTCTATTCTATTCTATTTTCGGTAGTATCTAAATTATTTACACACCCTCTCTCATACAGACACTCGCAATCTTTCATCACACACAGAGAGGATTCACGTACACACATATCATTAACTATATTATATACCGCAACTAGCGACACATTATACAACTTTACCTCCAAAAACATTTGTCAGATTTATTAAATACCAGTAAGTCCTCGGAGAGAGCCTGTCTGCCTGGAGATCTGTAGTACAGGTTTCGACTTAGTTCAGACTCCAGACTCTCACAAGGCAATAGCTTGTAAGATTAAATACATAATTTTGTTACTTTGTTTAATACGATCATATATTCTATTTACTTTATCATGGTCAATTGTGAAGATATATCTTTTTTTTTGGCAATTTAATATTTTGCAGTCAATCTTGTGGGCTATAAGCAAATATTCAGTATACTATAGGTAGAGTCGCTCCCAATCCTTCGTTCCAGTCCTTCGTTCCATTATTTAGTCTATCTGATTGTATATATATATATAGACAATCAGATGTTTGTTCTATAATCGACGCAAGTTTTCGGGTAGTGTAAGAAATCTCTTTGATTAGATTTTTTATTTTTTAAAACTATTATAAATTTCAAGTTCATTGCTTTATACAAAGTAAGTGTATTATTTAATTTCATCATCAAACCCGCTCATCATCACACCAGTTCATCATCACATCCGGTAATCACCACAAATATTTTACATTATCATCAGGCCTATATTAGTGAGTTCATTGCTTAACATAAAGTAAGTGTATTATTTAGTTTCATCATCACACCCGCTCATCACCGCCAACATTTTAATCATTTTATCAGGTTTATGTTTGTACGTAAAATTTCAACTTAACAAAGCTAGTAAGTAGTTAAAAATTAATACAATTACCGATCGTAATACGGAAGGACATGTGCAGGTAAAAAGTTACATAAATGTTAAAAGAAATAATTTGCGTTGAAGTCAATACATTACAAGAATTAAAAGTTTTTAAATTTATTTAAATTTTATTTCCCTTTAAAGTTTTAAATTTCCACAGAAGAGTTATATATCATTTTAAAAGTATTTAGATAATGAATGATTGATTAGTTAATTTGATTGAGGAGGTAATTCTAGCTTCTAATTTTGAAAAATTACTTTTTTTTATTTAATCGACCATATAATATATAATGTAACTTAAAATTTAAAAATTATTTTTAATTTTACTATGTACTAAATAAACAATTTTCTTTCTTTTCTTTTCTTTTCTTTTATATATAATATCGTAGCATGAATATATATGATATATGATGAATTTTTAAATTCCTTTTTCTAATTACTAGGTAACCTCATATTTATATATTTTATAAAAAGTTATGTAAATTTAAAGACAAATTAACACAAAATTGGAGTCGTGTCGCATCATTTAAAGAGGATGACGAAAGATCATGGGAAGTGGCAAAAAATCAACCGACAGAAGGGACTCTTAAATTATGAATCAATGAGGTAATATTGAGTAAAAAAGGAAATTTCCTTTCAGTTCACTGAGTCAGCGGATATTTTAATATTATATTACAATATTGTAGAGAAAATTACACAGTACATAATATTAAATCGTGTAGTATGTAATTTTGTTTCAATATATGACAATCTTTTTATTGAACTTTGCCCTTAAAACTAAACCTTGTTATAGTTAAATAGCATCTACCCAATGAAATTATAGGTAATTATAGTGAGTCGTATGTGATATATATTTTTGTTTTTAATATGTATTTGTGTATATTAATTGATCATAATTTATGTAATATTCCTAATAATTACACGTTTCAATAATTTTATGTTAACTAAATATTTTTTATACGTAATCTCCCTGAATTTTTGTCATCAATAGTGAATCATATTGTTAATAGAGTCGTAAAATATATACTCACCTCGTTGTAATTCGACGTAAACTTTTGACGGGCCGAGACAAACTCTCAGCTCGGTGTTTGGAGGCTTACTGGCCGTATTCAGAGGGATGAAGGCTTAAATACTAGTTGGTTAGGGGTGGCGCCAACACGCGCAGGTCAAGTTACACTCCTCCCAGTTTTGGGAGAAAAATTATATGACGTAAGATGTGACGTCATGTAATTTTTGCTAGGCAACGATCGAATGAAAAGGTTAAAGGTGCTAGTAATAAAGATAGCTAATTGATTAATATATAAGGTTTAGATTTCTTAAATTGTTCATTGACTATCCGTCATACTCGTGAACGAGTGCTGCTTGCAGGGACTGGTTTGCTCTTATCACTACGATTGATTAATCTTATTGTGTTTTTTATGTTTGAGACTAAATAAATTAGTGCTGGTTGGTAGTTTGTATTCACACGTTTCGGCTTGTAAAATGTGAACTTACAAGGATTGTTTAAACGAGCAACACACAAGTTTCTTGCTTATTCTTCTTGTGATGAGACAGATTTCCGAATGAGCGGTAGATTTAAAAAAAATTGTTGTCTATTCAAAAGTGCTTAAATTAAGTTTATTTGAATAAATGATTTTCTATTTCTATTTCTACCACTTTGATAAGTCTTGACTTGGAATTAAAGCTGTATGTTTCTACTTCCATGCCTCTATTTAACTGTATTCTACTTTTTTTAATATTTTACCAACAAAAATAACACTTAAAACTTAACGTTCATAAGCGCCTAAAATGTCCTATGAAATTAATGATTTTTGAAGTTTTTAGCTAGTGGTTCTGTCGTTACAATAATACATTTTAAACTTATATATATAACCTAACTTCATGATCAGTGACTGAAAGTCAGTCACTGATCTTCTACCATTGCCCGGCGGATACTGTTAGCGTAAAAGTATCATTGCATATCCTATTTAAAAACATACTTATACTATTTATTGTATGTTTGACAGCCTCAATCGTCTAGTGGTTTAGCATAGCAACTTTCTTCTGATGGTTGTGGATTCGATTCCTAGCACGTTACAAATATTTGTATTCATGAGTATAATTGTATTGTTCTGGGTGATTTCTATCTATATTATGTATTTAAAAATATGTATCTAAGTATATCTATCAGTTATCTAATATCCATCATCATCACATATCATCAATATCATTACATAGTATAAAACAAAGCCGCTGTCGCTGTCTGTCCCTATGTATGCTTAAATCTTTAAAACTACGCAACGGATTGTGAAGCGGTTTTTTTTAATAGATAGAGTGATTCAAAAAGAAGGTTTATATGTATAATACATGTACACCACCCAGACGAAGCCGGGGCGAGTAGATAGTTACATAGTATAAAACAGAGTTGCTGTCGCTGTCTGTCCGTCCCTATGTATGCTTAAATCTTTAAAACTACGCAACGGATTTTGAAGCGAATATTTTAAATATATAGAGTGATTCAAAAGAAAGGTTTATATGTATAATACATGTACACCCGTGCGACGCCGGGGCAAGTAGCTAGTTAAACTATAAAAATTAAATATCCTACAGAAGTTTAAGTAAGTAGACATATAGAACCAATCGAATTTATGCTGGTAGTTTATGAGTTAGTGTGTAATAAACTATAGTGTCAATACATTAACACGAGACTTGTTAGAGATCGTAAAGTTAACTGTTTAACTGCGTCTGAGGGAGAATTGAACCTAACCTGCTAATACAGGGTACACATTTTTTTTTATTTGACTATTCACCATTCCAGTGCATTATTTATATTATTAACCGGGTCTTAACACGAATTATTTATAAATAATAATAATAATAATCTCAGGACAATTCACACAGCGCCATCTAGACCCAAGTTAAGCTAGCTAAAGCTTGTGTTATGGGTACTAGATAACTGATACAAATACATAGATATATTTTGTTTTTGTAAATACATAAATACATACATATTATATATATATATAGATAACACCCAGACCGACACAAACAATCATACTCATGAATACAAATGTTTGAGCTGTGCGAGGAATCGAACCCGCGACCAAATGGCAAATAAAGGTATATACTTCTCTCTTTCTCTATCTTGGAAATTAAAAAACATCCCAATTTCAACAGAGAGGATGGCTTAAAATTATCTTCTGCGTGGAATCCAGTCATAAATAAATTCAAGCAAAGTTCAGTAGCATCAATAGTCAATAAGTGTACGGATACCGTGAGTGCTGTGTGTCGCGAACTTTCGTTGAACAATCTAGTGACGGTAGATGAACAAAAAACTGCTGTCACCTATCTGCATTGACATCGCTGTTGCTCCAGTCAGCTCGTGACCACGGCTAGTGCAACCTAGTCGAAACGTCGAGAGAGGTAAATACCTTTATTTGCCATAAAATTATTCGTGTTAAGACCCGGTTAATAATATAAATAATGTATATTAAACACGAAAGTTCAAAAATAACTATGGAATGGTACAGTCATTAGGTACATAGCTGTACTTTATTTGTGTGTTCTGTGGATACATCATTACTTATGTATGTTGGTCTGTTTACTTGTACTGTAACTACTAAAACACTGTCACGTGATTACTTTGATTTGTTAAAATTGGATAATGAGAAAATTGAATCTAGTAATACTATTGGCGATGATTATTAATTGACATAGAATAATTTTATATAACAAGTAACATGTAAAATTACACCATTGATCTTCCTAAAAAAAAAAACACTATGACGATGGTAACTTGATGACAAGTGGTAACAATCATCAATTGATAAAAGAAATGTAACTTTGCAGACTTTCATGTTGTCGTTTGTAGGTTTTTTTTAAGGGATGATAATGGAATTTCGTACTGGCCTGCTCTAACGGTATACGATGGCGGGGCACCAATGCAGGATAATAAGATGAGTATAAAGTCAGGTCAATTAGCACATCGTGACTAATTCACCTGGAATTTATCACGATGGTTTCCAGAAGGAACCGCGTGGAGGTCAACCTGACATGGTACTTTGCTAGCAATGTGATCAGCAGTCCACATTTATTTGGAATTTCAATTTATTTTTATTTATGTTTTATGACGGCCGAGATGATCTAGCGAGTAAGCACACCGCCTTATTTCCAATTCGATTCCTCGCATGCTACAAATCTAAATATATATAAACAAAAATTTGGCATGCAGGTAGATGTTGTGACGTAGGCATCCGCTAAGAAAGGATTTTCTTTCATTCTACCCCCAAGGGGATAAAATAGGGGATGAAACTTTGTCAATTTTAAACCGATCAGGCTGAGACTTTGCTTGCATAAAGCTGCTATAACGTATCCCCTAACAAAGGAAACAAAAGTAAAAGCCGCAAAAACTGTACCTAATTAATAATAACATTTCTTAACGCGAGCGAAGCCGCGGGCAAAAGCTAGTATAATATAAGCTAAAAGCAGAGCCATACGACTAGATGGCGTTGTGTGAATTGTCTAAAGTTATTATTAATTGTATTTATGTATCCTAGGTAATAATTTTATGACATTATTATATAAGGCCGGCAATTCACTTGCAATTCTCCTGGTATTGCGGATGCTCATGGGCAGCGGTAATCACTTACTATCAGGTGAGCTGCAAGCACGTTTGTCCCCTGTGCTATAAAAAAAGTACCTATATATTTAACCACAGACAAAAAAAAATGATTATATTTTGTAATCTTGTATTTTTTATCATGTGTAAAAATCATCAAAAGACCAACCCCCATATAAGGGTAGCGAGGGTGTATCTGATGGGGAGGGGTATGATTCTTCCCCACATAAAAAACACAGTGTACCTACAAACGCCAATGCCGGAGTCGTAAAGTCGGGTTAAGATTACTCAACGACTGAAAAGTTTGGGACACCCTGTATACGTTGCGTGGAATAAACCGCAACTAAAAACTGTCGTTTAGGAATATACTGTGACGCCTCTAATTGGTGGCAGCACTTGACTGTTCAGTTTACGGCACCACCGTTAGTTGTGGCTGTAGGCGGTTAGTACTGCGGCCTGCTCATAAACATTTACAATTATTTATTTACCGCTAAAAAGAATCCATTTATCGTATCTCCTCAGTTTCAAGACACTCTCCTTGATGTGAAGCCAAATCTCGAGGTCCTTGGCGTTGATATATCCAGTGACGTTCCGTTTTACGGTCATTTGGAGGACAAGGCTAAAATAGCCTCAAAGAAGCTTGTTGTGCTCAGTAGAGTGAGACGGTATTTCACGGCGGCCCATCGCCTGCAATTATACAAGGCGCAGATCCGGCCGCACATGGAATACTGTTCTCATCTCTGGGCGGGAGCACCACAATACCAGCTACTTCCATTTGACCGCATTCAGAACCGAGCAGCCAGAATCATTGGTAATCAACGTCTATGTGACAGACTCGACCCATTGGCTTTGCGGCGAGATATTGCATCTCTGTGCATTTTCTACCGCATATATCACGAGGAGTGTTCTGAGGAATTGTTCGGATTAATACCAGCTGCTGAGTTTCACCACCGTACCACCCGCCAAAAACTAAAATACCATCCTGATCATCTGGATGAATGGCGGTCTTCCACAGTGCGGTTTTCTAGAAACTTTTTGCCTCGCACAACCACATTGTGGAATCACCTTCCAGCAATGGTATTTCCGAACCGATACGATATTGAAACCTTCAAGAAAAGAGCTTATTCCTTTTTAAAAGGCCGACAACGTACTTGCAATTCCCCTGGTGTTGCGGGTGCTCATGGGCGGCGGTAATCACTTACCATCAGGTGAGCCGCATGCTCGTTTGTCCCCTGTGTTATAAAAAAAAAAAATTAATTAACACAATATAAACTTACAGCTAATTGCCAACACGTTTATATTTTAAAACTATTTATACTACTTAAAATTATACGATGATAAAGATATTCTTATTTTATTAATTATGGAAGGCAAGGCATCTATATATACGTCAGTATCTTGGACCTTACGTAAAAATAAATTGAATAATTGCAATGCTCTCATAGTGGGAGAATTGCTAGCGTGGCTCGACGACGGGTGATATTTCTCATGTAATTCGGTGGGATATTGAATCCTATCCGTTCTACAACTGCGGGACATGACTGATGACTGACTACATGACTGAATGACGGCGTGTGTGGTAACAGGAAGGGTGGATTTGGGGAGCTATTCAATTTAAAAAATCATTTATTCGTGTAGCACATTTTAGCCGCTTATGAACGTCAAATTTTGACATTAAAATTTAATTTTTTTCTTTAGTTTAGTTCTGTACATAGATCCAATTGAGAAGAACTGGTAAGAAACTCAATTGAATTAGTTTTTTTTTAAGCCAGTTTATTTATAATGTATATTTATATAGGTGTCTATGTCTAACATTAAATGAAAATCCAGTGCATGAACAACTATTGCCATGCACGCTCGTCATTCAAGTAATCGTTTAGTGAGTAATAGGCTTTGCTCAGTAAATATCATTTAATAGTTGTTTTGAATTTATTTAAGGGTAATTCCAATATATCCTTTAGTATCTTATTGTAAATTTTTATACCTATTCATATAAAAGACCTATTGACTTTTTCTAAACGATACTTTAATTAAATTTTTAATAAATAAATATTAAGCGATTAACTAGAAAAATTCAGATGAGGTCGAACGTTCTCCTGGTTCACCAACGTAATAAACTGACCTTATAAAAATTACACAGCAATCCATTGTATTATACAATGATCACGTAGAGACAAAAAGCGTATCAGATGCAGGCAAACTGAGAAGAGAAACGAGAAAAGAGAAGAGCCCTGTCGCCAAGGAAGACAACGAAGAGACACCATCATGAAGGTAACGACCACTATGTCAAGAGTGAATGACTAAATCCGTCATACTCGTGAACGGGTACTGCTTGTGACCGGTCTGTTCAGGTTACAAACCCTGATTAGACTATTTGCTTTTGCAATAGTATATGCTGGCGGTCACTCTATTCTGCCAAATTTGAATTTAAAAATGAATCTGTATTATTATAAACATGTATAACATTTATTTGAAAAGAATACGAGCTGAGTTTCTTGTCAGTTCTTCTCATCTCGAAATCATTCCGAAGTGACGGTAGATTTGACATATCAAGAGTCTGTAATAGACCTACATGAATAAAGATATTTAGTATTTTGAATTTGAAAACTTGTATTCTAATAATTGACGGCCTCAGTGGTCTAACGGTTTAACATACTACTGATGGTCGAGGGTTCGATTCCTCGCACGGCACAAACATTTGTATTCACGAGTATGATGTCTGGGTGTTTTCTACGTTTAATATGTATGTATTTACGAAAAAAATATCTATGTATAATATATGTATCAGTTATCTAGTACCCATAACACGAGCTCTAGCTGGCTTAACTTGGGTCTAGATGGCGCTGTGTGAATTGTCCTGAGATTATTATTATTATAATACAATATGTTAATCCTTGACCCATATCAAGCAACTACATATATGTAAACATATTGTATGTATGTCTGTATATTGAAAAACTTTAACAAAAAGGACGTTTATTGAATATAGCAAGGGGAACAATTTAATCTCTTCTATGTTTGGGTATCGAGGAAAAAACTTTGTAAATATAGGAATGTATCTTTTATTCTATTTATATTCTTGGTCTCTGTGGTTTCGCGGTTTATTACACTGCCGTACTTTCGATGGTCGCACGTTCAATTCTACCAGTATATCAATAATTTATATTTGTAATTATGATTTGTATCGGTCTGGGTATTTTCTATGTATGCTCAATCTATTCTCCCAAATTTGAATTTATAATGAATCTGTATTATTTTAAACATGTACAACATTTATTTGAAAAGAATGCGAGCTGAGTTTCTTGTCAGTTCTCATCTCGAAATCATTCCGAACTGACGGTAGATTTGACATATCATAAGAGTCTGTAATAGACCTACATGAATCAAAATATTTTGAATAATGGATAGAGTGGTTCAAAAGAAAGGATGCATAATACATACACAGTATAGAACAAGCCGAGAATTTCAGGATTAATCTATAATTTTAATCCGTGCAAAGCCGGGACGAGTCGCTAGTATATAATAAGGCAGGTAGCTGATATTATAAGGAGTAACTTAGGCTACTTTTATTTTAGAAAAATAAATTTAAATTCCAATAAGACTATGTAAAGATGGTACAAAAACAAAAGAAAAAAAATAGTTATCGTTGAAAATATTGTTATAAGTATTTCAATTAGCGATGTAGTTACTGTGTGTGCTGTACACATACATACATAATAATACAAGTAATACAAACACGAGCCGTGTTGACTCGGCAGATTGAAGCAATCAGTAACCCACATATACTAAGTTGGGGTTAGGTTCGAATTAATGTGTGTATTTAACCCACGATTCGATCAATTGGATTATGACTTTTTTTAGTAATTAATAATAATAATAATAATCGTGGACACTTTACACAGCGCCATCTAGTCCCAAGCTAAGCAGAGCTTGTGTTATGAGTACTAGACAACTGATACAAATACATAGATATTTTTTTTCATCAAATAGATACATATTATACATAGAAAACACCCAGACCGATACAAACAATCATACTCATGAATACAAATGTTTGACCCGTGCGCAGATCGAACCTGCGACCATCGGACCTAAAGCGGTTAGCTAAACGACTAAACTTCCGAGGCTGTCAAATTAGATTACGTCATTTTTTTAAGTAATTAATAATAATAATAATCGTGGACAATTCACATAGCGCCATCTAGTCCCAAGTTAAGCAGAGCTTGTGTTATCGGTATTCAATAGTAGATAAATATACTTAGATGTTTTTTTTTGTGAATACATCTTGCTAATTTGTAAACGCGAAAGTTTGTGAGTATGAATGTATGGATGAATGGAAGGATGGATGTCTTGTAACTCTTTCAGGAAAATTTAAGTATTCGTTAACGACAATAATGTTTCTATAGAAAAACTTAAAATCCATAGCACTGACAATATTATCTGATTACACTAATAATGAGTGCGCAGCGATTTCTATGTTGATTATCGCATGCCTCTTACTTGTTTTTTTTATATAATAACTAGCTGTCCCGGCAAACGTTTTGCCATATAAATTAACAACGCTATAAAAAAATAGGGGTTGATGATAGTAGGATTGTATGTATTTTTGTATGTTGTATCATAAAAAAATAGAAACTAAAAATTTTGTTTAAAAAATAAAATAAAAAAATTAGAGGTGGACTACCCTTAACATTTAGGGGGATGAAAAATAGACGTTGGCCGATTCTCACGCCTACTCAATACGCTCACAAAATTTCATGAGAATCGGTCAAGCCGTTTCGGAGGAGTATGGGAACGAAAACTGTGACACGAGAATTTTATATATAGATTACAGTATAACATTCTATTCAAAAGAGCAACACACAAGTTTCTTGCTCATTCATCTTGTGATGAATCTGCGTTCCGAATGAGTGGTAGACTCAAAATATGACTATTCAAAGGTGCTTGTAATGAGTTTATTTGAATAAAGATTATTTCTATTCCAGGCAAAAACTACTGAACGGATTTTCATGAAAGTACAGTAATATAACTTATACATGAGAATAACATATTCATCAGTATATTTCGCCCAATTTACGTAATATAATTTAAAAATATATTATGTAATGTATAAACCAGATGCCCAAAGGTAGCCGTACCTTTTACCATCTCACCGCTCGCTATCGACAGGGAATTCATTCCCACACGCTGGAACCTAAGTGGTCTCGGACAGTGCGGTTTCAGAGGAGCTTCCTCCCGCGTACACTTACATTGTGGACTGAACTACCTGCCGAGGTTTTCTCACGTGACTACAGCATGGGGTTTAAGAAGGGTATATTAAGGTTTCTTAAGGGTCGGCAACGCGCACGTAACACCCCTGGTATGTCAGGCGTCCAAAGGCTACGGTAACCATTTACCATCAGATGGGCCGTATGCTTACCTTTGCCACCATATAGTAGTATAAAAAAACCTTCGTCGGCATCACACTTGAGATATAGAATTATTTTTCGCTCAATTTACATAATATCTTTTTAAATTATAGCCTATATGTTATTCTGATATATAAGTATTACTGTAAAGTTTCATTAAAATGTGTTGAGCAGTTTTTGCGTGAAAGAGTAACAAAAATCCATCCATACTCACAAACTTTCTCGTTTATAATATTAGTCAGATAAATAAATTCGTCTGAGTGTGTACCTCAATCTCACTTACATATTTCAACTGCCAAGCAGCTACAATGTGTACTGTTGCAGTATCATCGGATATCGTGTCACCTAAGGAGCTGGTGGAAACCTTGCAGTATGAAGCCAAGGCGCGACCTGATGACCAAGTATACAAGTTTACCAGGGATATTAAAGACTTCTCCAGATTCCAAGATAAATCTAAACTGGTGAATTATTGGACTCTATTAAATCTAAATATACATAACTCAAAGGTGACGTAGTGATCTATCAACACACAGCCCAAACCGCTGGACGGATCAGGCTGAAATTTGGCATGCAGGTAGATGTTATGACGTAGGCATCCGCTAAGAAAGGATTTTGATTAATTCTACCCCCAAACGGATAAAATAGGGGATGAAACTTTGTCAATTTTAAACCGATCGGGCTGAGACTTTGCATGCATAAAGCTACTATGACGTCGGCATCCCCTAAGCAAGGATTTTGATAAAATCCACCCCTAAGGAATAAATTAACGCGAGCGAAGCCGCGGGCAAAAGCTAATGATATTGTATATACGACAATATTGACTTATTATCTATACATATAAATAAAATTGAATTACCTGTTTGTAATACTGAAATAACCGTTTTTTACTACTTGCATATGAATATAAATATGGTACATACACCGAAATAACATATTTTACAATTTTTGTCTGTTTGTTCCGGCTAATCTCTGAAATGACCGATTTTGACGGGACTTTTTTGGCAGGTATCTGATGTAACAAGAAGTAATATAGGCTACTTTTATTTTAGAAAAATAAAGTTAAATTCCACGCAGACGATGTCGCGAGTGCAGCTACTTCTAATATATAACAGCTGTGATCTAGGGGTGTAGCACACCGTTTAACTTCAGTTGGTCGCGGGTTCGATTCCTCGCACGATGTTCGATTGTATTCATGAGTATTATTGTTTATATCGGTCTGTTTTCTACGTATATTATGTACGAGTTTGTATTTATAAAAAAAATGTATCTATGTATTTATATCAGTTGTCTAACACCCATAACACAAGCTGTTTTTGTAGTTATGTGATGTCATTCTTCTTGTGATGAGTCTGCATTCCGAATAAGCGGTAGAATCAAAATATGTGACTATTCAAAAGTGCTTATATTATTTTTAAACTTTCGTGTTTAATATACATTATTAAAATTATTAACCGGGTCTTAACACGAAACGTCGAGAGAGGTAAATACCTTTATTTACCATAAAATTATTCGTGTTAAGACCCGGTTAATAATTTAAATAATGCTTATATTATGTTTATTTGAATTAAGATCATTTCTATGCATTTATATCATAGTGTTTTCCATAACTTATGCTCTGCTCAGTTTGTTACTAGATGGCGCTGTGTGAATTGTCATCAGTATTATCATTACTTAACTGATTTACGTGCAGTTATAATTAATATACTCACAATGTAACTTATTTCTACTGTCACTTAAAATTTTGGGTGTTTTTAATTTGTTTTAGTTTAGAAACAAAAGTTATAAACTAATTTTATTTCAAGTGCAAAAATTGCGAAGTTAATGTTATGGTTAGTTTTTAATAAGTTTTTATTGTTCAATATTCCTTCAGCCACAAAAGAATTTCACGTGGACTGAAGTGTCTCAGTACAACGGCGAGGATGACCGCCAGCTCTACATAGTGGTGTTGTGCACAGTGTATGATATCACAGACTTCGGAGACTTTGTGAGTACTACTAATTGTGACGATGGTAACTTGATGGTAAGTGATAAGCATCGCCAATAGACGTGAAAAGATGTAACAGTACTTCATCATCATCATCATCGCAGCCCGGAAGACGTCCACTGCTGGACATCAGTAACAGTACTTAAGGAATGATAATGGGCGCTAACGGTATACGCTGGCGGGGCACCCGTGGAGGATGATAAAACGAGTATGAACTACAGTGGGCTGACAGATCTGACATCAGTTAGCCCATCGTGGCAAAATCACCAGGAATTTAGCATGATGGTTTCCAGGGTGATCTGCTTGGAGATCAACCTGGTACATTCACTCAGCAGGCGATGAGGTTATTCGTTTATATTCCAATTTACTAACATTACTACTACCTACTAACTACTACTTCCCTTTCCCTCTACGAGGAAGGGTAGTCTTTCCATGATAATCAGCTTATTTGCCAATTGGTAAAAAATAGAAAAAAAATATTTCGAAAAACTGACAATCGTCTTCTCCCAATCTTGTACTTAGTTACTTTATTTTTGCAATGGTTCTTATAACCAGTTTTTTTCGTTTCCGATACAAGCATCCAGGAGGTCCTCAAGTTTTGAAGGACCACGCCGGCCAAGATGCAACTTCAGCGATGCTAAACTGCAACATATCCAGCAGTGACACGCAGTACTTCAGGAGGTTCCAAGTCGGCTACATTGTAAGTTAATTTATCTACAACAGCACTAGTAGGCTTGTAGGATCCTCGAAGGGCTGACGAAGTGGGAGCGAGAGGCAAAATATCTCTATAATATTCTAAAATATATTTTTTTTAAGGGACGAGATGATGAATGTATTAAAAATAATATTTTGGAAATTACCTTGGCACATACCCCTTGATGCAACTTCACGCGTACCCCCAGGGGTACTGGGGGTACGCGTACCACCAATTGGGAAACACCGCACTAGCTGATATATGTTATGAACGTATCATATTTATTTACAGGTGGATTCAAATTCCGAAAATGGAAATTGTCAACCAAAAAGTTCCGGTGAAGGATAAGAAATAGGAAGAATAAAAAAAAATAACTACATATAAAGACGAAATAGAGAGCAAATTCAAGTGGAGACGTAATATATATAATTTATTAATAAATAAAATTAACAATAAGAATTTTTGAACAGCTGTTGTTTTATTCCTCTATAACATTCCAAAAAGGTTGAAATTCTTTTTTATTGTTTTAAATTAGTACTTTATAAATCATGGTTGAATTTGTGGAGACAAATAAAAATCCTTACTAATTTCTTACTAATATTATAAATGCGAAAGTAACTCTGTTTGTCTGTCTCGCTTTCAGGCCAAAAGTACTGAACCGATTTAACTGAAATTTGGTACACAAACAGTCTAGACCCTGAGAAAGGACATAGGCTACTTTTTAATGCGAATAAAGTGTGGTAAGGGGTTGTAGGAGATGATTCTATTGAAGTATTTGAAATTCGTTATTTTTAAATGTTCGTTATGGAAGTATTATAAATTCATTTTTAATACTGGATTCTCGAAACTTATTTTTTAGGCTGTTCATTAAGTATAAATAAACATAACTACGTTTGTAAAATTGAAACAATAGGGGAAAGTTTATGTAGAAAATAGTTTTTTTTATATTAATACGAGAAATCTTTTTTCTTTGCCTTTTATGGGTTACATTATTATTATTTTTTTCTACATTTGGTCAAGGACACTATAACACGCGGACGAAGTCGCGGACACAACTACTTAGTATATTATATATGAAATTAAATTAAACGAAACGAAACGAAACGAATCGAAACGAAACGAAACGAAACGAAACGAAACGAAACGAAACGAAACGAAACGAAACGAAACGAAACGAAACGAAACGAAACGAAACGAAACGAAACGAAACGAAACGAAACGAAACGAAACGAAACGAAACGAAACGAAACGAAACGAAACGAAACGAAACGAAACGAAACGAAACGAAACGAAACGAAACGAAACGAAACGAAACGAAACGAAACGAAACGAAACGAAACGAAACGAAACGAAACGAAACGAAACGAAACGAAACGAAACGAAACGAAACGAAACGAAACGAAACGAAACGAAACGAAACGAAACGAAACGAAACGAAACGAAACGAAACGAAACGAAACGAAACGAAACGAAACGAAATGAAATGAAATAATTTATTTGCGAAATATTGGTACAGTATTATAATTAATATGATGTTACATGAAATTGATTGATCAGCAATATTTACCATACAGGCATGCAAATTACGTGAAGGTGTGTTACTTAAATATTCTTGGACACTGTAAAAATTACCAAGTGACATCCAATTCTTTAGTTTGCGTTTGAATAACGTATGAGATCCCAGTTCTTTAATCTCTCTTGGAAGATTGTTGTACACTTTGATTGCCATACAGTATACATATATATGATGACGACATTAAACATAAGTTAACGATGAGTGTTATCAGCAATGAATATTTCCCGCGTGATAATACATATCACATTATAACATTACAAACGTATCGCTCGATATATTTGCCGATTGTAATCTGGAACGTGCTCCTGATAAAATACTTATGCAAATCTAAACCATATATATATACACACAACGTCTGTTTGTCTTACTGTATGTTTACAATATTTCCTAATGACTGTGTATTATTGTAAACATGTACAACATTTATTTGAAAAGAATACAATCTGAGTTTCTTGTCAGTTCTTCTCATCTCGAAATCATTCCGAACTGACGGTAGATTTGATATCATAAGAGTCTGTAATAGACCTACATTAATAAAGATATTTTGAATTTGAATTTAAATGTATACTGTCATGATATCAGAACTTGAGACTGATGATGAGAAGATGACTTGATTGATTCTACTACAATATATTTACTGTATCGAATTTAGTTACTTTGAGAAATTCATAGACAATTCTTATTTCACAACAAACTGCCAGAGACTGTACTCAATTTACCAGATAAAAGATTCAAATGTGTCATAAAATGTTTTTATTCAAAGCTTATTATAAAATTGAATTTGTAAATGATAATTTGTAGAAAGTATCTAACATAAAATTAATATAATAATAATAATAATAATAATAATAATAAAGCCTTTCAAAGTCCAACCCCGCGTCCGAGCTGATCATCTAGCTCACGTGAAAGGCGGTCACGCGTATATATAAAACCTACGCGGCCAAAGGGGCCATGGCAATTATAAAGATGGCTAGTGTAAATAAAGAAAACGGAATAGGGTCGCTGCCCGGGGGCCGCCGGGGCACGTCTACAACTGGCGGTAGGCGTGACAGAATGCAAGCCAGCCGACCGGCCACACCACCTGGCCGGTCCGACCCCTTGCCATCGACATCAGCTGGCTTGGCACCGGCAGGACCGTCACAGGCCCAGCAATCGGCGCCCGCCACTGGTGGTACACGTCGCATGAGATGGTCGAGAGCCATGAATGAAGACCTCATGCGAGCGTTCTACAGGGCTACAGGGACGGAAACAGGCAGAACAGGATACAGGGCAGTAATGCACCGCGAGTTTTTTTTTACCGGAGCTAATCGTCTCGGAACAGAACCTAGCCGATAGAGTTCGGTACATACAGCGCTCTGGTATGTTTAGCGCGACCGAACTCGAACGATTGCGAAGTGAAGTTGTTCCAGAAGCAGACCCCACGACCGTGGAGCAACCCATCTCAGACGTGCTACCTAACGTAGAGATGGTTGCCGAAAGGCCTTCAGAACCGAATGCGGACGGAACAACTTCCCAGGATATAGAGCATATGAGGAGCATACTAGAAGGGGCGATTCTAGAGATCCGAAGAACTCCCCTTGAAGAGAGACCGAAGCTTCCCCGGCTACATCCAAATGTGGCGACGCGGGATGCCATTGAGGCCGCAAATGGACTGCTGCCTCAATACCTTGAGGGCAGCGGTGACCTGGGAGAGACGAGTTCAATCCTCTTTGCCGCTGCATTGGCAGTATGCCGATATACTAGCGCAAAAATGCCCCGGGCTGGACGTAATATCCAAAGGGATAATGCGAAACCAGCCTGGAAAAGAAGGATTGAGCGACGGATCACCCAGGCCAGGGTCCTCATTGGCAGACTGCTCTGCTTCAGGGAGGGCAATACACGCCCGAGAATTATGCGCTCCGTAAAAAAGGCCTTTGCTGGGACAGGTGTACGTCTGTTCCAGCCGGACTTCGGACAAAAACTTACGGAGCGTATAGACGACCTGAAGCAAAAGGTCGCTGCATGGGGGAAGTGACTCCGACGGTACTCTGAGAGGGTCGAGAGGTATCAACAGAATCGTCTCTTTATGAGTGATCAACGGAAGTTTTATAGAAACTTGGAGCGCCCAAAACTACAGCCCACAGGACAAAGACCCGAAACAGCCAATTTCGTCGCCTTCTGGCGACAGCTGTGGTCTGAACCTGTGGAACATGAGGAGGGCGCATGGATGCACGGTGTCGAGGAAGCATGTGCTCGAATAACACCGATGAACGTCATTGCCATTACGCAGGAGGACGTGGTTGCTGCGATCCGTCGGGCTCCGAACTGGAAAAGTCCGGGAATCGACGGATTGCAACACTACTGGTTAAAGGCGTTCTCGGCCAGCCATGCAACCTTAGCCGTGCAATTCCAGAGTGCCCTCGAAAACAGGGCGCTCCCGAACTTCCTTACAATCGGGATCACTCATTTAGCTCCTAAGACGGACGATACCGCGGATCCATCTAAATATCGCCCCATAACTTGTCTTACGACAATATATAAGACGTTAACATCTGTTCTGAGCGCTAAGATCTCTCGTCATGTGTACGAAAACAAGATCCTATCTAGCGCTCAGAACGGATGCAGGGGCGGTAGCCGCGGATCGAAGGAGCTTCTCCTATGATGCTGTATGGCCAAGTGGTTAAGCGGAACCGTCGGAATTTCTCCGCTGCTTGGATAGACTATAAAAAGGCGTTCGATTCCGTGCCCCACTCATGGCTCCGGAGGATACTCGAGCTGTACAAGATAGACGGTACGGTTCGGGGATTCCTGGAGACATGCATGGAGCAATGGACGACGATCCTGACTATCCAGGGCGAGCGATTGACGGATACCGCTGACCGGATTGAGATTAAGAGGGGAATATTCCAGGGCGATTGTTTGAGTCCACTTTGGTTTTGCCTGTCCCTGAATCCTCTCAGTACTTTACTGGAGAATTCGGGGACTGGATTTCAGTATCGGAGAGGAGGTACACGAGTGTCTCACCTTCTGTACATGGATGACTTGAAACTACTAGCTCCGAGTGTCGAACGCCTGACGGAGCTATTAAATATTGTAAACGATTATAGCAGCTCTGTTAGGATGGCACTCGGAATAGACAAGTGCGCGGTTCTCCATGTGCAGAGGGGACGGGTCAATCAAACTGAAGGGATCGTTACAGATCCCTCCAACATCAAAACCCTCTCCGACGCTGAAACATACCGGTATCTGGGCATGTCACAAAACATCGGTGTGAGGGAGACGGATATGAAACAGTCAATCCGTGAGGAATTTTTTGCGCGCCTTACAAGAGTACTGAAAAGTTCCTTGTCGGGTGCCAATAAAATCCGAGCATATAACGGCTGGGTCATACCCGTACTCCTTTACACTTTTGGCGTGCTCAGATGGTCTCAAACCGAACTCGAAGCCCTGGATCGGAAAGTCCGCACAACTATGACCCTCCATAGAATGCATCACCCGAAATCGTCAGTCATGAGGCTGTACATCCCGCGGAAGGCTGGTGGTCGAGGCTTGTTAAGCGTTAAGACCATGCACAACCGCGAGATTGACAGCCTCAGGACATATTTTCTGGAGAAAAGAGACGAGGGTTTGCATAGAGAGGTCATAGAATGTGACAAAGGATTCACCCCTCTTTCTCTGGCTAAAGAGGACTGGCGAAAACCCGAAGTCCTGGGTACCTCTCAGCGGGAGGCCGTGTGGAAAGAGAAGGAGTTGCACGGAAGGTTCTTCAAAGCCCTTCACGGGCCGTACGTCAACACGAAGACCTCCGTGCACTGGCTACAGTTCGGTGATCTCTTCGGAGAGACCGAGGGTTTTGTCTGTGCAATACAGGATCAGGTGGTTAAGACGAACAATTACCGAAAGCACATTCTGAAGGATGGCACTGAGGACATCTGTCGGGCATGTCGCCATCCCGGAGAGTCACTCAGACATGTGCTTTCGGGTTGTTCAGCTCTTGCCAACACTGAGTACTTGCACAGGCACAACCAGGTAGCCAAAATACTCCATCAAGAACTAGCTCTGAAGTACGGCCTCGCGAATGAGAGGTTGCCGTACTATAAGTACGAGCCCCAGCCGGTCCTCGAAAGCGGCAGCGTCAAGCTCTACTGGGACCGATCCATCATCACGGACAGGACTGTTCTTGCGAACAAACCTGATATCGTGGTGATGGATCGGGCACTTTCGAGGGTGTTTTTGGTGGACATCACCATACCGCATGACGAGAACCTCGTGAAAGCCGAAACTGAGAAAAAGAGAAAGTACCTCGACCTGGCTCACGAGGTGACCGAAATGTGGTGGGTGATGTCCACCGAAATCATTCCAATCGTTATGTCGGTGAACGGTCTTATCCCAACCAGTCTGGAACAACATCTCAGACGGTTGGGATTCCGGGGCGGTTCACTCCCGGGAAAGATGCAGAAAGCGGTGCTGTTAGATTCTGCCCGCATTGTACGCCGGTTTCTGTCCCTGGGGCCCTGAACCCCGGCCGACTGTGCTTCTGCCGGGGGTATGTTGCCATCTCCTCTCCTTAAGAGGGGAGATGAGAATTTTTGGGAAAAAAAAAAAATAATAATAATAAAAGAATAATCTCAGGACAATTCACACAGGGCCATCTCGACCCAAGTTAAGCTAGCTAAAGCTTGTGTTATGGGTACTAGACAACTGATACAAATACATAGATAATTTTTTTTCGTAAATACATACTTAGAAAACACCCAGACAGATACAAACAATCATACTCATGAATACAAATGTTTGTGCCGTGCGATGAATCGAACCCGCGACCATCGGTTAGTAAAGCGGTAAGCTAAATCACTAGACCACCGAGTATAAATTAAAAAATTTACACATCTTTTACTTTCGGAGTTGTGTTTTTAAGATTTCTTTAGTTTATATGTTGATACATCCTTAACAACATATTCTATGAATATTTCATTACAATAGCATTCAGAACCGAGCAGCCAGAATCATGTATCATAGATGTGTGTGTATATATACACTAGTATACATAATACTATATATATGGTACACTAGTAATTACTAAGTTGATTCACGAATTTAAGAAAATATATATAATTGTCATTGGGAGAACTGGCATCTAAGACACAGGCACGGCCTAGTTTAGATGCTAGTGGCACTAATAAATTTAAACCAATGATTTGTCTTACATGATATTCTAATATAATAATTGTAGCTACTATAATAATTATAGCTAATGTAATCAACGTCTATGTGATAGACTCGACCCATTGGCTCAGCGGCGAGATATTGCATCTCTGTGCATTTTCTACCGCATAAATCACGGGGAGTGTTCTGAGGTATTGTTCGGATTGATACCAGCTGCTGAGTTTCACCACCGCTACCCACCAGAAACGAAAACATCATCCTGATCATCTGGATGAAGGCAGTCCTCCACAATACGGTTTTCCAGAAACCTTTTGCCACGAACAACCACATTGTGGAATCACCTTCCAGCAATGGTATTTCCGAACCGATACGATATTAAAACCTTCAAGAAAAGAGCTTATTCCTTTTTAAAAGGCCGACAACATACTTGCCATTCCCCTGGTGTTGCGGGTGCTCATGGGCGGCGGTAATCACTTACCATCAGGTGAGCCGCATGCTGGCTTGTCCCTGTGTTATAAAAAAAAAGCCTATAGTTCTAGCAAGTTTCATAAAAAGGAGAGCCAAAAGAAGAGAGAGAAAAAGACGTACAAATTTTTTCCTTCACATATTAACATTACGTACTTTTTCATTCTTCAGCCGATGTTACGTTAAACCATCACACAAATGGACAAACAGATAATAACGACTTTATGTATGCTATCCTTAAATATGTATTTATGTAGTGCAGCAAGAAAGTGCGGGCAGATCCGGGATCATAGTCGCGTATTGGCCATTATGATAAGAGTCATGTACTGTAGTTATCTGTCCGCCGCATCATTGTGAGTTGTTAACGTCGATAGAGGCGTACGTGTACCACTACCACGCACCTGTCACTGTCACCATCTATCAACTATAAGGTGAGACATTCTTTTTTCGAAACAATTTTTATTTTAATATTTTCTGAAAAAAAAAAGTTTTTTTTTCGTCACTGTCACTATCTATCAACTATAAGGTAAGATAATTTTTTTTTCGAAACAATTTTATTTTCTATAAAAAAATTTTTTTTTACGGACTTGGAAACAAATAGTTTCTCTCGGAAAGAGACAACCCTTGCTTATAGTTGGGGTTGTTAGTAATGTGGACTAATAATCTCATTGCTAATCGTCACTCAACTGTAAGGTAAGATATTTTTTTTTTTCGGAACAATATATTAAAAAAACAATTACGGTTTGGGAAATAAATTGATTCTCATGGAATGAGACAACCCTTTCTTATAGTTGGGATTGTTAGTAATGTGAACTATTAATCTCATTGCCAACTATAAGGCATGACAAAGTATTTCTAAAAAAAAATTGATTTTAAAATTTTTTTATAAAAAAAATTGGAAATGGTAAGAGACAACCCATGTTTATAGGGGGAAAGGATTGTTAGTAATGGGGTTACCCATTGCTAGTAATGTACCATGTCATATTAACCTCCATGCGGTTCCCCCTGGAAACCATCGCGATAAATTTATGGTGAATTTACCACGATGGTGAACTCACCTGACCATAAGGTCAGGTGAGTCTTATCGTCCTCCACCGGTGCTCCTCCAGAACAAACATATTTAAGTATTTATATCAGTTGTCTAGTACCCATAACACAAACTCTGCTTACTTTGGGACTAGAAGACGCTGTGTTAATTATTCTGGATTATTATTAAAAGAAGCGATTCCTCAATGAACAAGGTACCACAATAAACCCAGGTAGGACATTTTTTGCTGCGTGTACAACTTGTTCAAAGGTGATGCTACTCCCTTCTTCTTCTTCTTCATGAGCCGTCTCCTACTGAAGATTGGCGATCATCCATCCTAATTTCATCCACTGCTGTTCTGGACTACTCACTAGAGAGACACCAGATGGTCTCTCGCACAGCGGTTAAATAAAGCTGAACGATGATCTTCATATTCATCATCATCTCAGCCCGGAAGACGTCCACTGCTGAACAAAGGCCCCCAAAGATCTCTGATACCAATAGATTTATATTATTTTCTGGGCAACGCGCACGTAACACCCCTGGTGTTTCTGGCGTCCATAGGCTACGGCGAGCATTTACCATCAGATGAGCCATATGCATCTTTGCCACCATAGTAGGATAAAAAAAATATTTTGTTTAATTCAGCTGCCATTAGCATGTGAGACCATAAATATACAGTGCGGAAACCTGACCATCGCTTCTGGAAGCTTTACGACGTTCCCCATTCCCCAACCAAATTGGGTCTACATGTATATTGTGACACGTGTATCTCCTCTAATCGGGGCATCATCAGGCAATGAATAGTGTTCTAACACAGCTTGAAAGCTATAAAAATAAACATTTTCATTTTATAGTATAAACATAAAACATATAGTATAACAAAAACTACTGAACCGATCATCATGAAATTTTGTACACATGTTCTTGGAGGTATTGGAATGAGCATACGATACTTTTTGTTTAAAAATAAACATGCGAGCGAAGCCGCGTATGAAAGCTAATATATTATAGTTAAAACAAAAAATTAACATTTACATTTTTACTTCATCATTGTCTCTCCAATGATGTGACTACAAATATCAGATTAAATTAATATGTGGTGGTAGACTTATCGTCTTACCACTTTCTTCTTTCTGTGCCGTACCCTACTGAAGGTTGGCGATCTCAATTGTGTCCAACGCTTCATGGGCTCCCTAAACTATGGTCGAGCGCAGTGATGGCTGGCTCATCCGTCATACTCGTGAACGAGTGCTGCTTGTAGGGTCTGCTCTTATCACTACGACTGATTTAATCTTATTGCATATTTATATTTGACCCAAAAAATTTGTGCTTGTTGGTAGTTTGTCACACGTTTCGACTTGTAAATGTAAACTTACAAGGATTATTTAAAAGAGCAACACGCAAGTTTCTTGCTCGTTCTTCTTGTGATGAAACAGCTTTCCGAAGGAGTGGTAGATAAAAAACAAATTGTTATGACTATTCAAAAGTGCTTAAATTAAGTTTATTTGAATAAATGATTTTCTATTCTATTCTATTAGTACATTCTTTAATCGTGCGGCGTCTGCTTGGTCTTCCTTATCACATTAGATTCAAATACTTCTCATACGATATGTTCTTGATAGAACGATTGTGGTCATAATGTATGAGTGAGAGGAAGATATCATCCGTCTTACGACATCTCTCCATTTCGCCTACTGGTACATTCTGGTACACTCGTGCAGTGGACCGCCTACCGATTTTTATTTCATGCATAATACTGGAATGCTAGCAGGGCACCAGTAGAGGATGATAAAATGAGCATGAGGTCAGATCAGTTAGCCCATCCTAATCAGGATGGGCTAATTCTGGGGCTTCTCTGGTTATTTAATCAAATAACCAGAGAATCACGATGGTTTCCAGGGGAAACCGCGTGGAGGTCGAGCTAACATGGTACATTGTTAGGAATGGGGCTATTCGATCTCATTACAAACGAAAGAAATGTGGACATAATAATAGTTGCGAGCAATACAACATCGACACTTAACAATGCCTCTGCCTGCCCCATGGGCTAAGAGTCGTGAAAGTATTATTATAGTAATGATAATTACTTTAAATTAATTATTACTAACGATGAGGTTTGATAATAATAATCAAATGATTAAATTCTTGTAATTAGGTACATTTTGTATCGCAGCCCTTTTAGATTGTAATATTTTATCTTCTATAAATATTGGGTTACATTTATTTTAAACTGACTTCAGAATAAGAAGTAGTTTCTGTATTCGACAGTATTTTTCTTGCATGTGTCATCTTAAGTATCTTTCTAGATAAACTAAACTGAACTGATCTTCTTGTGGTCCTTTAGATATAAATTTTACTAAGCTCTAGCCTACTGGTCAGGTTCACTTAAATATGCATAGTTATATATTTGTCTATATGAAAATCCTTACCGATTCAAGACATTTTTGTGGTCTAAATATGCGTATAATTTTTCAATAATAACCCCTGGATAATATATACAGTGCCATGCAGTCCTAAGCTAAGCATAGCCATATTTCTATAACACAAAGTTTAAAACATATATATATATAATTATAAATGTAAACCTAAATATTTTATAATTTAATATTTTTTGTAAATAATCATACTCATGTATATAAAATAAATAAATAAAATGTTTGTAACGTGCGGGAAATCGAACTTGCGACCATTGGAAAGTAAGGCAGTGTGCTAGTGCGCTTGCGTTTATTTAGAAACTTAAAAACACACGCACCCACATTGTGGAATCATCTTACTGTAAAAAAAATAAAGATAAATTAAAGATATTCAAACAGGATTTTCAAAAAAACACTAGGAAGTTTCTTGCTATTTCTTCACAATTGATATAAATAAAGAATCTTGAATCTTGAATCTATACTGAACTGGATGGTAGGGAAAAAATATTAATACAAGAACGATTATAAATGCCTAATTTGGCCTACAGGAACAATTTTTTTTTTATTTAATTTGATTTGATTTGTTACAGCATGGCCGCAGTAGCTCGGTACACGTGGGAGGAGGTGGCCACCCACAACGGCAAGAACGGCTCCAGCATCTGGATCGTCTACAAGGACTCCGTTTATGACGTCACCAAATATATCCACGAGGCAAGTGTATAGTTTATCGATGATGAAGTTTCTTTTATAAATGACTAGCTTTTACCCGCGGCTTCGCTTGCATTGAATCTATTAACTAACTTAATTACTGGCTGCTAGGTGGCTCTGAAGTAGCAAAATGTTGATATTTATTTTTTTTTGTTTTTTATCAAAAATATCGCGTCGGTCGATCGTCCCGGGTTCGATTCCACGCACAACGCAAACATTTGTATTCACGAGTATGATTGTTTGTATTGGTCTGCGTGTTTTCTATGTATAATATGTGTGTACTTATAAAAAAATGTATATGACTATTTATATCGGTTCTTTAGCTCATATATAACACAAGTTCTGCTTAGTTTTGGTACTATATGTGAATTGACCACAGTTCTAAAAAAAATATGGTTTACATTTTAATTCCCTACAAAAACAATTGATTCAGATATATCAAAAATTGTGCAATCGTATTTGAAAATTGATAATGCAGACATTTCAAGATTTCAGTTTGAGCGCTCATTGAAAACGCATCTTTAAAGTTATTGTCATACGGTGCAATTCAGATGTGCAATTGCATTTGACATTCTCAAGTGAGCTGTCATTCTGCCGGCGGTTTCCCGCCAAAATCTGACATTTCCCGTAACGCTTCTATTTCGTCTATGGTTTAAGAAAAAAATGTTTAGAGATATTATAAATTAGTAATAAAGCCCCAAGTTTTACCATAAATTAAAGAGCTCAGGTTTTAATTTGTGTTAATTTGATCAATAAATCATGACACAGCTATATATTTAAATAGATAACATAATTTTTTACAGCTAATCTCGCGATGTGAATTGTACTTTGTTAGATAAGATATCGGTTGTCTGAACCTATTACCACAGTCATGTTTCGATCGTTAATCACTGTTTTTGTTGGTATTGTCGGAAAACTCTTTGTTAGTAGGGGCTGTATTTAAACTCAAGTTGTTGTATTGATAGTATAATATAATATATATAATATAAATAATCTTTATTGTGCACAGAAAAATTTAAAAAAAAATCTTAATTTTATTTTAATAAGCAATCTCTTAAGATGAGCACGTATGATGCGTGAACTAGTATGACGTTAACTTTATTTAATACTGCTTTATTAAATGAATAATCAAAATCCGTAATGTTAATTCTTTTATGCCATAATGGAGACTTAATACAGTTATCTGTCTTTTATTCTTTGTAATCAAATTAAACAATATATTATATAAAGATTTATGATCAAATATTGAAATCAAATCGATTAGTAATTTGTATTCTATAATAATAAAGGACCAATAAAGATAGGTGAAAGTTAGTTATGACTCGACATTTTTGTTCTGTTTCGTAAACAGCAATTAACAACCGTTTCTTAGAAAAATGTTTATACAAGATTATAAATGATTAATTGTTTTGTATACTTAATATATTTATTGGAGACGCCGCGGAATGTTCGAGAAGTTTTTTCTTTTTTATAATAAAAAAAATAAAAACAATATCGTTGATCTATGCTTGAAGTTCTAATTTCAAAATGAATAATTGAAATTTTGAGATATATTATAGTATATTTGATTTCGCAAACATAAAATAAAATTTAAATATAGTTCAAGCAGAAAATTACACAATATGTATACGTATAAATAAAATTGCAGTCTCTGTTTGTAATATTGAAATAACCATTTTTTACTACATGCATATGAATATAAATACGGTGGAATATAATTGAAATGTGGTGTTGGAGAAGGATGGAAAGATAAAGAATGAGGAAGTGCTTAAAAGGGGTAACTAAAAGAGACAGATCATAGATATGATAGATCATAGATTACCGCTAAAAAGAATCCATTTATCGTATCTCCTCAATTTCAAGATACTCTCCTTGATGTGAAGCCAAATCTCGAGGTCCTTGGCGTTGATATATCCAGTGACGTTCAGTTTTGCGGTCATTTGAAGGACAAGGCTAAAATAGCCTCAAAAAAGCTTGGTGTGCTCAGTAGAGTGAGACGGTATTTCACGGCGGCCCATCGCTTGCAATTATACAAGGCGCAGATCCGGCCGCACATGGAATACTGTTCTCATCTCTGGGCGGGAGCACCACAATACCAGCTACTTCCATTTGACCGTATTCAGAACCGAGCAGGCAGAATCATTGGTAATCAACGTCTATGTTACAGACTCGACCCATTGGCTTTGCGGCGAGATATTGCATCTCTGTGCATTTTCTACCACATATATCACGGGGAGTGTTCTGAGGAATTGTTCGGATTAATACCAGCTGCTGAGTTTCACCACCGTACCACCCGCCAGAAACTGAAATACCATCCTGATCATCTGGAAGAATGGCGGTCTTCCACAGTGCGGTTTTCTAGAAACTTTTTGCCTCGCACAACCACATTGTGGAATCACCTCCAGCAATTGTATTTCCGAACCGATACGATATTGAAACCTTCAAGAAAAGAGCTCATTCCTTTTAAAAGGCCGACAACGTACTTGCAATTCCCCTGGTGTTGCGGGTGCTCATGAGCGGCGGTAATCACTTACCATTAGGCGAGCCGCATGCTCGTTTGTCCCCTGTGTTATAAAAAAAAAATATTATTGGGAATAGGCGGCGAAAAATGTTGGGGCACTTGATACGACATGATGACCTTATCTATACATATAAATAAAATTGGGGTGTCTGTTTGTAATATTGAAATAACTGTTTGTTACTACATGCATATAAATACGGTACATACACATATACATATACATTTTTTTACAATTTTTGTCTGTTTGTTTATCCGGTTAATCTCTGAAATGGCTGGACCGATTTTGACGTGACTTTTTACGGCAGGTAGCTGATGTAATAAGGAGTACCTTAGGCTACTTTTATTTTAGAAAAATAAAGTTAAATGCGATTCCCTCAAAACCTCGACCAGGTTTGAACACAAAGTTTTGTAATGCTGAATGCAAAGATAGAATAAAAGTCACTATTACAATATATATAGCTATATAAAACTCTCGTAACACTGTTTTTTACTGAATTGAAAGGCTAGTGCGATTGTTATGATATTTTTGGTATTTATTTATTTATTTAACCTTTGCATTCCATAATTTTAACTTGACCTATGATACACAATATATATAATTAATTATATAATAATTACTTGTTGGTAGATTCAAGTATATAACTAAGTCCCGTCAGCTTGTTTACCATTTTAGTTACATAAAACAAGAATATCCGCTTCCATCCGTCCGTCCCCGTGTTGCTGCATAAAGCTGAGTAAGCAATTTTTTCAGCGATGCGGTGGCTGCAAAACAGCGTTGCACTGTATACTATGTTATATTGGCTACTAGCTACCCACCCCGTGTTCAGGTACAGGTGTATATGTACTATACATATAAACCTTCCTCTTGAATCACTCTATATACTAAAAAAATCGCTTCAAAATCCGTTGCGTAGTTTTCAAGATTTAAGCATACATAGGGACAGATAGCGACAGCGACTTTGTTTTATACTATGTAACTAGTTACTCGCCCCGGCTTCGCACGGGTATACATGTATTATATATATAAACCTTCTTCTTGAATCACTCTATGTATTAAAAAAATCGCTTCAAAATCCGTTGCGTAGTTTTAAAGATTTAAGAATAGATAGGGACGGACAGACAGCAACTTTGATTTATACTATGTAATGACTGTAACCTCCTTTATCAAATCATATAAAAAATAATTTATTCATGTTGAACATTTTAGTAATGACGAGCATGCATGGCAATAGTTTTCATGTTCGGGATTTTCATTTAATGTTAGACATAGACACCTATATAAATATACGTTGTATATAAACTGGCTTTTAAAAAAAAATCAATTAAGTTTCTTGCCAGTTCTTCTCAATTGAATCTGTATACTGAACTGGACGATAGGGATAAAATTGTAATATTATGAAGATTTTGTGTATATTTATTTAGTTTGGTGTAAATAGTAACATTGTTTGCAATTCCGTTGCAGCATCCTGATGGACCAGATTCAATAATGGAAGTGGCCGGGAAGGACTCCACCAAGGACTTCGACGCTGCCGGCCACTCATCCGACGCGAGGCACATCCTCGCCAAGTTGAAGATTGGTGAAATTGTTGAGGTAACTAATTTTTTTATTACTCTAACACTAGAAATAAAGAATATACATATTACTAATCATTGTATTGATACACATGTATGTTGTTACGGAAGAACTGTATTAAGGCTGGTTAAAAATGAGACACGTTCCTAGATGATATAAAATAAGTGTAATCAGCTCTCTAGCAAAAATATAAAGACAAAGAATATGCCGTAAGAAAACAAACGGTATATGAAAACGTCAAAATATAAAATTCAAATATATATAAAAACATAAAAACTATCAAAAAGGTTGCCATCGGCAACACATGTCTATGTGTATATATTATTATGTCTTCATCCTCTTGAAAATAGCCTATATGTTATTCTGATGTAAAAGCTATATTACCGTAAAGTTTCATCAAAATCTGTTCAGTAGTTTTTGCGTGAAAGAGTAACAAACATCCATCCATACACACAAACTTTCACGTTGAGAATAGTAAGAAACGTATATGACGTCATATACTATATATATGAAAGCCTCGTGGGTCTAGTGGCTTAGTACACTGATTGATGGACACTACCGATAGTCGTGAGTTCGATTCCTCGCACGGTACAAACACGTATTCGTGTGTATGTTGTTTGTATCTGTCTGGGTGTTTTCTATGTATATATGTGAATATATAGTTTATATTATTTTGGGTAGAACTAGAAAGCGTTGTAGGGCAGTAATGGCGAAAATATATATTTATAAATAATTAGGCAAACAAAATCTATGTACATATATAATTTATGTTATATAAATATAATATATACTTTAAACATACACATATATATTGAAATATATAAATTATACAGAATAAATACATAAATACGCTAAATATAGTTGTACCTACTTAACTCAACGCCAAACAGTTAAAGCTCATTTTGACGATCAACAGGTAATTAAATAGTTTCGTTTTAATTTGTTTGTTTTATTTGTATTTACAAAATATATTTATTCTTCGTTACACTACTTATTAATATTATAAACTCGAAAATTTGTGAGTATGGATGTATATTTGTTACTCTTATACGCAAAAACTACTGAACATATTTTGATAAAACTTTACAGCAATATATCTTATACATTACAATAACATATATTACTATAAATTACACGGGGGTAAAACTGCGGGGGTAAAAACTGTATAATAGGCGAGCTGAATGCTATATGGCATTCTCTATCAGCTAACCAGTAATGGGAAGAGACAGTACACATTTACATGTATCTATGTATTAATTTAATTATTTATAAATTTACATATAATAAATCAACATGTATTGTTATAATACATCACACGGTAGAACCAGCTTCCGATGCAGCCAAGTTGTTGTTCTGGATGGCATCATATTCGTTTAAGTTATTTAATTGATATTTAGTTTATTTTTGTTATTTAGTATAGGTACGATGGGATCGTCATCGTCACATTTTGTGCACAAAAATTAAAAAAAAAATAATAAAGAGAAAAAAAAAATAACAATATACACATAGACTCTGTTTAAAGAGTATAGTAATTTCGTAGATGACTCATTTACAAAATGAACTTTAAAATTTCAGTCTGTTGTAGCATATACAACATAACTTCTACAGTATGTCTGCTAAAAATTATTTTACTGTATAATAAGCTTTCTATCTTTATATCTCTTTGCCAGATATTAGATATTAGAATAGAATAGAAAATACTTTATTCAAATAAACTTAATTTAAGCACTTTTGGATAATCAAACAACATTTTATTAATATACCGCTCATTCGGAAAGCTGTCTCGTCACAAGAAGAAACTTGTGTGTTGCTCTTTTAAATAATCCTTGTAAGTTCACATTTTTCAAGTCGAAACATGTCAATACAAACTACCAACCAGCACATTAGTGCTGGTTGGTATCTGATTTACTCTTATTGTATATTCATGAATATACAATAAGAGTTAACTCGAGTTGCGCATAATTCGAGTTAACTCGAGTTGAATTCTGCCAACTCGAGTTGGAAGAATTCAACTGGTAAATGAATGAATCAAGTGAAAGAGCGAGAGCATGATTCTGTCATCGAACCGACAATGACATGAAATTTTCCGATCATTTCATATCATACAATTTTCACTCGTCACAAATATTTTAATATTGATTTGAGGTTGTTTTAATTTTTTTTTACATATTCGTCCGATTATGTTATCAATAAAATGATTATGCGTTCTATAAGTCCTTCCGCGGCTTTAAAGTGCCATTTCTACTCGCCCCCTAAAGTTCGGTGAAGCTTTCAAAGCTAGCAGCGCCTAAAAACATTAGAATTGTTCGAAAAAATAAAAAATAAACTTTTTATTTCTCGAACTCGAATCAACTCGAGTTAACTCGAGTCATGTTTATTACGAGTTAGCACATCTCTAAGATATTACATTATTATTATAGATATAGATAGATATAGCGGACAGTAATCTTAGTAATCCCTTCCTTCCATCTCGTAAGAGCCTACCCTATCAACTTACGATGATATAAAACAAAAGGCTTCAGTAATAGTGACGCAATGACTTGATCTATTAAATGCAGACGAAACCCGTAGGCATACCAACTGTGTAGCTCAGAAATACAGGAATAGAATAGAATAGAAAATCATTTATTCAAATAAACTTAATTTAAGCACTTTTGAATAGTAATAACATTTTTTTTATCTACCGCTCAGGAGGTCAGTTAAAAAAACAATAATTATAAAGTTCTATTTATCGAGGTCTTCTGAATATTTATCCACACGATAAAAACTACTAGATCAGAAAGAGTAATCTTTTATATCTTTTTATATAAAAAAAAACATCTATTGGAAACAGCAACACATAAGTTTCTTGCTCATTCTTCTTGTGATGCATGCGTTCCGAATGACCGGTAGAATCAAAATATAACTATTCAAAAGTGCTTGTACCTACTGAGTTTATTTGAATAAAGATTATTTCTATTGTTAGGGTTCACATCAATATTGTCGAAAAATCTGATATTTTAAAAATATTAAAAGAAGGTAGTTTTATTATTACTCGGTATCGTTAAACTAGTTGCGTATAACCCCCACTCATATCTTCTCTGTATAAAAGGGAGGGTTTTCGTAAGCCACGGCACCACCTTGACCACACTTTTACACACACACACGACACCATCCTCGCCGGCGAAGACGACGACCTCACACACTTCATATCGCGCATTCAACCGGGCGCCTGAGCGCGCCCGAGCGCTCTACACCGGCGCCTCCAGTCGCCCCTTCGATCGATCCCCTGTCCAAATCAACGGGGATCGATGTTACGACGGCCTGAGCCGAGGTTCGAACCCCTAGTGGTGCCTTCAGACTAAAGTCGTATCCGTCAGGCGGGAGTTGGCCTTCAGCCGCTCCATAAGTCCTTCCGCGGGTTTGGAGTGCCATCTGCACTCGTCCCCTATCGTCCGGTGAAGCTGTAAAGGCCAGCTGCGGCCAACAGCATTAGAGTAGTCCGAGAAAAAAGGCCACGGCAAAGGTCTTTGAGCACAGGATGTGCTGGTTGTATTTTAAACGCTAAAATGAATCGTGTTAGAGACATAGTTAAATTAATGATATATAGTTGTTATTTTATTATAATACATACTTTTACAGTTACTTATACAGTTGATATATCTTACACTATTTTCTATTTTTGTTTTAATACAAGAAGAAATAATCCATATTCAAATAATCTTAATATAAGTACATTTAAGTAGTCATTATTTTTGATTCTACCAATTAATGGTAGTTGTAGCACAATAATTGTAAATTCAGGATTAATCAACATTCAAAGGCATTTATGTGGCAGGTAGAACTGATGACTACAGTTGTTTTAGATTGCTGTATTGTTATCAGATTACGTCCATAAAGCAAATTTTCTCACAAAACAAACAGTTTTGATTGTAACTTGAAATATAACCGCCTACATGAAATATAAATAATTTTAAATCAAATAAACTTAATAACATATAAGCACTTTTTAATAGTCATATTTTTGTTTAACCTACCACTTAATTATAAAGCAGACTCATTATAAGAAGAATGAGCAAGGAACTTACGTGCTGATCTTTTATATGAATGTTGTTTTAAATAAATACACATTAACATGGACGAGGCATGCGACAAGTAACATAGAAATCGCAATGCACTCAATCTTTACGCTAAAAACAACATATAAGTTATTTCTATCTATTCTCTTATCACTACGACTGATTTAATCTTATTGAATATTTATATTTGACCCAAAAAATTAGTGCTTGTTGGTAGTTTGTATTCACACGTTTCGACTTGTAACTGTAAACTTACAAGGATTATTTAAAAGAGCAACACACAAGTTTCTTGCTCGTTCTTCTTGTGATGAGACAGCTTTCCGAACGAGTGGTAGATAAAAAACAAATTGTTATGACTATTCAAAAGTGCTTAAATTAAGTTTATTTGAATAAACGATTTTCTATTCTATTATATTCTATTCTAACCTTGTGCAATGAAATAATATAGTCAGCAATATGAATTTTAGGTTTTTTATACATATTTTACTGCACGCAACCTTTAGCGCCTTTTAATTTAAAAATAATAAACTCATGCCACGGGGTAATAAGCAACATAGTCCAGGCCGCGCATGGCGGACTCATGCAAATAAAATTGTGTGGTTTTAGCGGGATTTCCCGAAAACTATGTCTTTATCGGGAGAATCCCGAAGAATCCAGAGAGTTGGCAACTCTAGTGACATGAGGCGTTCGGGCGGGAGTGATCTCCACGAGGCGCCATCTGGCAACCCATGTACAATCTGTCTTTACTAGGAGAGGAATTACTTAAACTAAATGTTTAGTGCATCACGGAAGAATATACTCATATATAAGAGAAAGACTTTCTAGTTAATATTGTACAATATTTTCTCTCTAACCTAAACAAAATAATTAACATCCTGAGCTACTTTTAGATATCGCTTGTTATAAGACCTTTGTGTATTAAGATATAATAACCTCTACATAATTCAAGTGAGGGCCGCGTGCAGGTCAACCTAATATTTATTTAAATAACTAAATAAATAGTAAAAAAAAAAAAACACTGGATAACGTTGCATTGTGGACCCAGTGCTTCTGGACGTGGACACAGATATATGAATTAAATATATCTACGTATATGTATATTATAAGTTACTAACATAGTTTTATAAGTTTTTACTAACACAATATGGATGTAATCCGAATTAAAATTAAATAAATAAAACTTTAATGTACAAATACACAAATAAGTGTGCACTCGGCGACCTTCACATTGAGGCATTTTCTCCCACTCAACCATGTGGCAAACTGAGATTCGTGTGGGAGGTGCATTATCTATTATATACTTATATATAATACACTAGTTTTTGCCTGCGGCTTCGTTAATTTATCCCCTTAGGGGTGGAATTTATCAAAATCCTTTCTTAGGGCATGTCTACGTCATAGTATCTTTATGCATGCAAAGTCTCAGCCCGATCGGTTTGAAATGAACAACGTTTCATATAAACTTTCATCCAATATTTTAACCCCTTGGGGGTAGAAACGCTAAGAAAGGATTTTGATTAATTCTACCCCCAAAGGGATAAAATAGGGGATGAAAGTTTGTATGTAACTTTGTCAATTTTAAACCGATCGGGCTGAGACTTTGCATGCATAAAGAATTATAACGTAGGCTTTCCCCCAAGAAAGGATTTTGATAAATTCCACCCCTAAGGGGATAAATTAACGCGAGCGAAGTTAGTTAATAAGATCCGAAACTGCAAAATTATTATTAATGTGGTATGGTATCATCATCAGCCCACTGCAGTCCACTGCTGGACATAGGCCTCTCCCAAGGCACGCCACTGGGCACGATCTTCAGCCCTTCTCTGGTATGGTGGTATGGTAATTGTGACTAAAATAAGTAAATCAGAGGAGTGCTACAGGCGTCTATATACCTTAATTAACTGCATGCAAATATTTATGAGAAAAAGATGAATAAACATTACCTCATCGTCTTTATAAGTTCTTTAAGACTTCGATGTCATTGAGGATCAAGAGTCGTTTCTATAGATCCAAAGATACCGATCTTTGCCGACATTTCCATAAATTATAGCTAGTACCTGTCGTTTGAATGAATAATTCTTGAATTAACAAATTTGTCATAACTTATTAACAAGATTTTGTTTTGATGTTGCCTTGAGAATTGTGAGCTATACATAAATAAAATTGGAGTGTCTGTTTGTGTGAAATAACCATTTTTTACTAAATGCATATGAATATAAATACGGTATATACACCAAAATATTTTTTTTACTATTTTTGTCTGTCTGTCTGTTTGTTCAGGATAATCTCTGAAATGGCTGGGCCGATTTTGACGAGACTTTTTTGGCAGGTAGCTGATATAATAAGGAGTAACTTAGGCTATTTATATTTTAGAAAAAAACTTTCATTTTAGAAAAATAAACTTAAATTTCACGCGGACGAAGTCGCGAGTACAGTTAATCTATATATATGAATAAAATTGGAGTGTCTGTTTATAATATTGAAATAATCGTTTTCTACTACATGAATATGAATATAAATATGGTACATAGACCAAAATAACATTTTTTGTCTGTCTGTCTGTTTGTTCCGGCTAATCTCTGAAATGGCTGGACCTATTTTGACGGAACTTTTTTTGAAGGAGTAACTTAGGCTACTTTTATTTTAGAAAAATGGAGTTAAAATCCACACAGACGAAGTCGCGGCTAGTTGTAAATAAATTAATAAATGAATTTACATACTATGGTATATTATAAATAACAGGCATATAGCCATATATACATCATTCTGTACTAGCATTCACTCGGAACTATATAAATAAAATAAAACGGAGTCACACCACCAGGCATAAGTAACAATTTGTTGATACGAGAGAGCACTTCATTTTAGCTTGATTACTTACTTGCTCGTTTGTCTATGTCCACGACAAACATACAACCTATATCATAGACAATATTGTTTGTACCGTATATGTTTATATACGGCCTGTATTGCTGTGAGAATATTTATGTAATTAGTTTATTGTGCCCACAGCTACAGATGATACATGTACAGCTGATTACATCTATTTTACCAACAATGTTACGGAAGGAAGGACTGTATTAAGGCTGGTTAAAAATGAGACACGTTCCTAGGTGAGGTAAAATAGATGTAATCAGCTCGCTAGCAAAAATATAAAAACAATATGGCATAAGAAAACAAACCAGAACGTCAAAATATAAAATTCAAATATATATAAAAAACATAAAAACTATCAAAAAGGTTGCCATCGGCAACAATCTCAAATAATATAATATACTAGTATATTATATAGTGCACTGCACCAAACCGTAAGCAGAATTTAAAGAATATAAAATATTCAATTCACTTCGAATATTGTAATATAATCGCTAATTATTAAAATTGATTACAGGAAGAGAAGAAGTACGATGCCAATGGTAAGAAGAAGAAGAAGGTAGTCGCAGTCCCGCCAGGGAAGAACGCGCGCAGCTGCTGCAACGTCATCACCTGTGGATTAGTAGCGTGATATTAAACGAAAAAATCACCGTCTCCATTCAATAGAAGATGGACCCATTGAAGAAGAGAAGTTCTTCTACCTCGTTCTATCTTACTCTTTACCTGATACATACAAGATATATGATATTACAGAATGTTAATACGTCTACCGTAACCTTCCTGTTGAATCACTCTATCTATTAAAAAACCGCTTCAAAATCCGTTGCGTAGTTTTAAAGATTTAAGCATACATAGGGACGGACAGACAGCGACAGCGACTTTGTTTTGTACTATGTAACTAGCTACTCGTCCCGGCTTCGCAAGGGTGTACATGTATTATATATATAAACCTTCCTCTTGAATCACTCTATCTATTAAAAAACCGCTTCAAAATCCGTTGCGTAGTTTTAAAGATGTAATCATACATATGGACAGACAGCGACAGCGACTTTATTTTATACTATATAATGATTGCATATTAAAAAAAAATGTTAATATTGGTAACGATAATTTTATGGTAAATAAAGATATTTACCCCCTTGATATTTCGATTAGGGTGCACTAACTGTGGTCAAGCTGACTACGACCTGACCAGTACAACCTAGTCAAAACCTCAAGAGAGATAAATACTTTTATTTACCATAACAGAAAATATTTACCATTTTCTCGCATGCTATTACCTCATTGACTGTATAACTCCATCGCTAAATAATTAAAAGAAACTTAGCCAAGATTTTGACATTACTCTCGCCATTTTGTTTTTTTTTCTCCTCTTATGGCTCCGGCAAGTTGTGCTGCCATTAGCCATATTTTGTTTTTTATTTGTTCATAGAGTTAACACTGCCAATTATTACATTTAAAAAACCATAGACAAGAGAATATAAGAAATGTAACGACACTCATTTTATTTAGACCCATCAAGCTTCGGTTCTACATTGTATCATGTATTTGGTAAGGACAAGTTCAATGAAAAATGTATGTTAAGATATTTATATTAGGGTATATAATTAAATCGTTTGTAAATCTGCTATTTTTATAATGTTAAGTTTAATAAATCTGTATATAATATTATTATTTTTATTCTATACTAGCTGTACACGCGAATTTAACATTATTTTCCTAAAATAAAAGTAGCCTAAGTTACTCCTTATTGCATCAGCTACCTGCCAATAAAAGTCCCGTCAAAATCGGTCCAGCCATTTTAGAGATTACCCGCAACAAATATACAGGCAGACAAAAATTATAAAAAATGTTATTTTCATATATGTACCGTATTTATATTCATATGCATGTAGTAAAAAACGGTTATTTCAATATTACAAACAGACACTCCAATTTTATTTATATGTATGTTTGTATACACTAACGTCAGTATTCTCTGATGACCTTCGTTGCTGTAAGGCACGGAATGCATTCGAAGACGTGTGCAGAGGGCCCTCCAGATTTTTAGATCTGTAGTGCCATCTGGAGTATGACTGAAATTTTCCACCGTTATTATGGAATACAAGAGTTCTGTCACTATAGAGACTTTTTTTCACACAGCGCCATCTAGTCCCAAGCTAAGCAGAGCTTGTATTATAGGTACTAGACAACTTATATAAATAAATAGATATTTTTTTTGTAAATAAGTACATATTATACATAGAAAAACTGAAGAAGCAACTGAGATATTGATGAATATAATGAATGAATGAATGAATATATTTTTTTATCTCAGGACAATTCACACAGCGCCATCTAGACCCAATTTAAGCTAGCTAAAGTTTGTGTTATGGGTACTAGACAACTGATACAAATACATACGAAAAAAAAATTATCTATGTATTTGTATCAGAAAACACTCAGGCCGATACAAACAATCATATTCATGAATACAAATGTTTGTGGCGTGCGAGGAATCGAACCCGCGACCATCGGATAGTAAAGCGGTGAGCTAAACCACTAGACCACCGAGGCTGTCAGATTGATAGAATAGAAATATACAGTGAGCGAAAATAATTGTAAATTTGTTATATCGAATATACAACGGACTGTTCTGAAGAATTGTTCGACATGATGCCTACGGCTACCTTTTACCATCGCACCGCTCGCCATCGACAGGGAATTCATCCCCACACGCCGGAACCTAAGTGGTCTCGGACAGTGCGGTTTCAGAGGAGCTTCCTCCCGCGTACACTTACATTGTGGAATTCTAAATTAACAATTCACAATTCTATATTCTAAATTATAAAATCATTTATTCATGTAGGACATTTTAGTCGCTTATGAAAGTAAAATTTTTACATTACAATTTTAATTTTTTCCCTACCGTTCAGTTCAGTATATAGATCCAATTGAGAAGAACTGGCAAGAAATTAAATTGAATATTCTTTTTAAAGCCAGTTTATTTAGAATGTATATTTATTTAGGTGTCTATGTCTAACATTAAATGAAAATCCAGTGCATGAACGACTATTGCCATGTACGACCGTCATTCAAGAATGACCTGCTCGCCGAGGTTTTGTCGAGAGACAATAGCATGGGGTTTTTCTAGAAGGGTGAGGATTTTTGAGGGTCTATCTCGATGCAAGGATGACGGAAAGATCCAAGTTCTGTGGTAAGAACTGAAAAAAAATACAATATATCGCTAGCAATGTGACTGTTGACCTTAAAATAATATTTCTCCTTACCAATAACCATTAGGTAGGTAAAGCTATTCAAGCACTCAACTATAGTATTGGAAATGCAATTGAGAATGAACCGAGGACTTTCCTGATGGAGTACTTGTGTTGAAATGTATATACTCGCACTAAATGTTTACTTATGAACATTCTGTAAGGGTTAGGTACTTAGATGGTATTATAGAAATGCACACTAAGAAAGTAATCACTATCTAAATATATATAAGTCAAAGGTGACTGACATAGTGATCTATCAACGCACAGCCCAAACCACCGGACGGATCGGGCTGAAATTTGGCATTCAGATAGATGTTATAACGTAGGCATCCGCTAAGAAAGGATTTTGATTAATTCTACCCCCAAGGGGATAAATTAACGCGAGTGAAGCCTCGGGCAAAAGCTAGTGTTTTTATAAATGCAATTTAATAATCTTATTAATTTTAAAGTAGAATGTGTGATACATAGAAAATACCCAGACCGATACAAACAATCATACTCATGAATACAAATATTTGTACCGTGCGGAGAATCGAACCCGCGACCATCTGTAGTAAGTCGATGTGCTAAACCGCTAGACCACCGAGGCCGCCAATCATAACCGTGATTTTTACTAATTAATATTATTAATTAGTAAAAATCACGGGATCTTACCACGTTTTGTATTTATTTGCTGAGTTCCCGATATTTCGGCAGTGTTTCAACCACCATGATCACGGTTTATGCGGGATCATGGTGGTTGAATCACGTGGTAAGATCCCGTGATTTTTACTAATTATACGTATAAATAACGTAATTTTAAAGCATGTAATAATATATAGTTCATAGACAATATACTTATAATAATACCATGACATAATTAATAAATGTAGAAGAATAGAATAGTACAGAAAATCATTTATTCAAATAAACTTACAATGAAGCACTTTTGAATAGTCATTACATTTTTTAATCTACCGCTCGTTCGTAAAGCTGTCTCATCACAAGAAGAACGAGCAAGAAACTTGCGTGTTGCTCTTTTAAATAATTTTATTCTTACTTTACATTTTTAAGTTTAACTGTGTGAATACAAACCACCAATTAGCACTAATTCAATTAAATACTCAAATAGAAAAATATTGAATCTATAACCAACTGGTTAAACAATTAGTAAGAGGAAATCAGCCATAGTGATTAGAGCAGACCAGTCCCTACAAGCAGCACCCGTTTACGAGTATGACGGATGAGCCAGCCATCACTGCGCTTGACCATATTTTAGGGAGCCCAGTGACCCGGCCCACCACGCCGCCACAAGTCTGGACATTTTAGTGAGCATGGCTACTCAAAACACTAGACCACGTCAAAGCTACTTACAATTGCCATCTGATAGTTATAGTATTTACATTTCACATAAGAATGCATGCGGCAATCAATAAAAAAACCGCTACGCTTTCATATTTCTAAAATAATTAAATCAAGAAAGCAATGAACAAGAAAGAAATGTAATTTATACTATAATCTAAAATCAAATATGTTGTAAATTGTTGCATGCCTGATAGGGTGAAACTGTTGATACATAAACTATATATATTGTTGTACCACCTACAAAAAAAAACCCACACAGTTAGCAATAAAGATATATTCTATTCTATATTCTAAGAATCGCAGGCAGAACTTAGTATGATAATAAATCCCAAACTTAGATGTAAATATTATTTCTTGACAAATATTACACTTCGATGTAATTCATCAATTATGTAAACTAAATGTAATCCGATAAAATGCATATCTAAGGCAAAAATCCATTTGCAACGTGTCTATGCATAATATGAGGAGTTGAGTGCTCGTTAAATAAATCTACTATTTTTCGTCCACAGTCCTCCTTCAAAGTAAATCGTAACTTATTTTTAAATCCAAGAACCTAAGTGGATACACCTACATTCATGCACATAAATTTCAAACCAACTACCAAGGGGATTGGTAGTAACGGCTAATAACTCCATTGCTAGCAAGGTACCATGTCAGGTTGACCTCCACGTGGTTGCCCCTTTTTTTTTTAACTTGGAGAAAATCCCTAATGGAGACCCGCCGGCCCCGGCGGAAGCCAGCGGGTACTGTGAGACTCCTACTCGCTAAAAACTCCAAGATGTCCCTCACCCAAGGCCTATGCTGGAGTCACGGGATCGATGACACTCAACCGGAACTCCGACGGCGGTGGCCTGCTCCAGCAGCGGGCCCCATCTCTGGGAAACCATCGTGATAAATTCCTGGTGAATTTGTCACGATGTGCTAACTGACCTGACCTCGTGCTCATCTTAACGCCCTCCGCTGGTACTGTTACGGAGTGGGTCTAAGGATAGTTTAAAAAAAACAATTATTTGTATTTTAAGAAGGAAAGAGCGTCTTGAGTGAAGTACAAGGACTGAAATGATCAGTCTGTTACTAATAACAGACTGATCATTTCAGTCCTTGTCTGTTAGCCGAAAACCGCGAGTAATACGAAAGGAATGTATCAAAAGTGTATTGTTTTATTAATACAATATATTGATGTGGAAAGCTAACATGGCTCTTTCGGAACCACTGTATGTACAGTGATTGTGAAACTGTAACAGTACCCCGCCAGCGTAAACCGTTAGCGCAGGAGGGTGCACCATACCATTATCATCTCTGAACCCCATTGCTAGCAATGTGCCATGTCAGGTTGAACGGATTTTGGTGAAACTTTA